TAGGCTCCTTGCATTGGTGTACAAACATCTTAATTTTTGCTGTTTGGCCTCACTCACAATCTATACCCAATTAGGCACAGACATTCTACAGCCAGTATGACCTATTAGACTGGTATCCACACTGCCCTTCCTCCTTATGTCCATTCTCCTACCCACGGCTGTATCCTTCCTTACTTTTTTTTCTTCCCTCTCAATACTAAAATCCGGCATGGACATTACCTGGACGTCTCCCCCAATTTCCTAATTTAAAGCTCTCTTAATCAGAGAGCTTCGCCTTCCTCTGTAGCATGGGGCATGGGTCACTTGCTGGAGGATTCTCTGCTCCTTGAAGTCTTTAAACTACGATTTGAGGACTTCAATAGCACAGATATAGGTGTGAGGTGTTTTTTTTTTTGTAGGAGTGATGGGTGAAATTCTGTGGCCTGCGTTGTGCAGGAGGTCAGACTAGATGATCATAATGGTCCCTTCTGACCTAAATGTCTGTGAATCTATGAATCTAGTTGTGATATATCTTCTTTTCCTTTCTGACTTCACTCAATTTCTTCTTCTTTTTTCTTTCTTATAATAGGTGATGATGGTATAACTCTTTTTTCCTGCATCATTTCAGTTTCTTTCCTCTGTTTATTAGCAATCCTTTCTTTCCTCTGTTCGCATTCCCGTATGTCTTTCCCTTTCTCCATTATAAGTTCTTCTGCCGCTTCTCCTCAGAATCTCTCTGTATACTGAACTTCTCTTTTTCTAATGTATCCCAACAGTCTCTCTGTCCCCATATCACCACTCACACCAATACATGTCAGTTGATGACAATACATGACAATTTAAGTCATGGGAACTTTCAGTCATCTATAAGGTAGAGGACTAAATTTACTAGCCAGCAACCAATTAGTATGAAAAAAGTAGACGTCCTTGCTGTTAGGTGATGAGCCAACTCTGTAGCTCAAATTGTTGAAAAAGGGGTGGGTGCTGGGATTCTTTCTTTGACCCCGTTCAGGTGGTTCATTTTTGTGTAAACCTCTGTTTAGTATGTGTCTGAGAAAATTGAAGCCTTCAGCCTTCTCTAGCTTCTGGAAAAGAGAAGTACTTTCTCCTTGTTCCTCTGGGCTGCTGGATGGGCATTTCTGATTACTTTTCCCAGAGACTCCACTTTTGTATTCTCCTGTAGTGCTTGCCTCCTGTGTTGCTCAGAGCTTTCCAGAGCAGCAGTGAAACTGCTTTGATTCTTATCAGTTGCACAGCTGCCTACAGGGTTCTCACTGGCACCAGTGAAAACTGAGAGGAATTTGGTCTGGTTTCATTGTGTAGCAGAATGGAGAAACTTTGAGCAGGAGCAAGCAGCACCAGAGAGCCTGACCTGGGAAAGCTTCCTACTCCTCCAAACTGAGTAGCCTTTTCAAACCCTCCTTTTCCTTACTAAGTCACAGAACGTGTCTGCTGAGTTAGAACCCTTAGAGTTGCAGGCTTCCTTAACTCCTCTTTATAGCGTTTCACTTTAAAAAATCTAAGTTGATTTCTCTGCCTAAACAAGGTCTTCGATGCAGCACGTAAACTGATTTTTATGACAGTTGTATTTCTCATTTTCCATGCAAGACACATGAAATAAAAACCTAAATTATGTTGTGTCATTCAGCCAGTTCCAAAAGGGTTCCATAGAAAACAGATGGATTGATTGATCATTTCACTTCTCTGAATAAAAACCTGTCTGAATGAGTTTTCTAATTTGCAAATGTGAAAGGTTGCATTTCAGATTTAAAAACTAATGGCTAAAGGTTTTCAGTCTCTGTAAAACGTGAGATTTAGAGGTCTTATTAATGTACAAGAGAGGACGATGACTATATGAATTGATGACGTTAGCAGACTATAAATTGTTTTATTTAACAATTACATTTTAAATTAATTGTAATGTAGGAACCTACGTTTGGCAAAGGGATGTGGGTCTAATGGCAGCAGTTAATAACTTAGAACTGATCCTGACATCTCTTGCTTTTGCTGTTGAAGGAGAGGAAAGTGGAATGGCGTACGTTAAGAATAGCAGTTACTTTTCCCAGTCTGTGTTTCAGTTTCAATGTTGTTAAACAATTTATTTTTTAAGTGTTTCCTCCTAAAGGATCCCCAAATCAAATCACTTATTTAGTTGGTTAAATATGGGTTTGAGCCTATTTTTTTTTAAATTTTTGTCTTTGATTTTTAAGGTCTTTTATCTGAAAAAACTGACTTGTTGTAGGTTGCCTAGAAATCAATGTAGCTACCATGGAAGGATGAAGTTCTGAGCTGACCTTGATAACATTTGAATCTGTAGTTCCAGGGATGCTGAGCATGTTTCTACGCTAGCCTTTTATTATATTTTAATTCCACTATTGCAGTTACACAACATAATAGTTGGAACTGTGGTAACCCTGGTCAGAGAGAGTTCTGGTGGAAATACAGTTCTCCTTGTTCTGCAGTACTATAGTGGTAGAATGTGTGGGTTTTTCATCATGAATTTAATAAAAACAAACCCACCCACTTGTATAATAAACAAGCTCCAGGACTTCAGGCAGCTACGAGTGAATGTTTTAATTGTAGATATTCATAGATTCGTAGATATTAAGGTCAGAAGGGACCATTATGATCATCTAGTCTGACCTCCTGCACAACGCAGGCCACCGAATCTCACCCACCCACTCCTGCGAGAAACCTTCACCTATGTCTGAGCTACTGAAGTCCTCAAATATATTAAAGCAAGGATAAAACTAAAAGGGGTAAGACAAAGGGCTTGTCTACACCACAGGTTATGTTGGTACAACTTATGTCGCTCAGGGATGTAAATAAGTTACACCGACCTAAACGCTGGTGTGTACAGCGCTGTGTCAGGAGAGCTTCAGTGCAGCTGCACCACGTAGCGCTTCTAGTGTAGACTAGTCAGACATACCTTAAAGAAGAGCATAAAAAGGAGAAACCCAGCTGCAGTAGTCCAAAACCAAACACTTGGAATGCAAGGAAATGTCTTTAGACAATCAGGGCAGCAACAGTATACTTTTGAAAAGTTTGTACTGTAGTTTAGAGAAAAGTTAAGACACCCACATTCTCTTATCTGTAGCAGAATATGGTCTTAGCTATTCATGGATGAGTAATGAGAAATTTTTTCTTAGCCTGCTTGGTATCTACGTTATCTAAGGTTTTTTTTGTGGTACTCATTACTGAGATATCCGAGGTACAAAAAATTAACTGAAACTACAAAAATCCTGTTCTTTCCCCTCCGTAAGTTTCTGGCCTTAAGCAGGGTGTTAAGGAAGCTGTACACATTTTAGTTTGCCTCCAGGCTCGTATATTTTTATTCTAGGCTTCAGTCAGGAGCCATTATGAACATCCTAAATTAAGGTTTCCATTTGACCCTTCTAATTCTCACTAATCACTTTGAGGTCCAATGTAAATGACCGAAGCTAGCAAATAAACAAACAAACAAAATAAACATGGGTACTGTTGCACAAAATACCATATTAATTTAAAAATGGAATTAAATTATGTATAATATTTCATAGTATACTAGTAAATGTTGTATAGCATTTTGAGGAGGAAAAGCAGTTCAGTCATAGTAATATGAGATTTCCCTATAATGCCATATTGTGGTAGTGGGGAGAGCCTTTTGTAAGTCTAAATAGTACAACTAAAATGTATGAGAGCAGGCTTGAAAAAAATTGCCAGAGGATTAAAACTACCAGCCCAAAGTTCAAGTGGGGGTGGGAGGTTATGTGCCTGGACCTCACTGCCAATTGACTGTATGAGTTTGTCTACACCACAGTTAGACTCCTGGAGCTGGCCTGTGCCAGCTGACTTGGCCTTCAGGCTGCAGGGCTGTTTAATTGCAGTGTAGCTTCCAGGCTCAGGCTGGAAGCGCAGGCTCTAAGGACCCAGTGAGGAGAGAGGGTCCCAGCCTGAGCCTAGGAAGGTTCCTGCTCAAGCCTCATGAGAGCAATTCAGCTGGCATGGGCCAGCCCAGAGCTGCTGGGAATGAGGAAAGAATGCTGCAATTCCTACTGGGTTGCTGTCCTGCATCCTATACAGGAGATGTGTCTCTAGCTAGCAAGAGCTTTGCACTAGTGAGTGAATTTTTCAAGCTTTCTCTAATAGGGTAAGAGCAAAAAGCATTTAACATAATAATTTAAGAGTATATTCCTCCTGACACCATAAAATGTTGTGTGCATTTTTTATTTAATTAAAAAGGCAATAATTGAAAATGAATCTCTTATGTTCCATGCTATTGAGCTATGTTGTAGTCCTGCAGTTTTAAGCAGCATTTGCTTTGTTGCTGGTACACTTTTTCTCTAGTCATCATACAGCCACATGTCAGCATTGCATAATTAGAATAAATAAAAATGCTCTAATCTATAGTAGGGAAATATTATGCTTGCGCTTACTCTATTAAAATATTGTGCCTACTGTATTAAAGTGGCCTTCAATTAAAGAAAAAAGAATGAGGAGTACTTGTGGCATCTTAGAGACTAACAAATTTATTTGGGCATAAGCTTTCGTGGGCTAAAACCCACTTCATCAGATGCATGGAGTGGAAAATACAGTAGGAAGATAGATACACACACACACACGCACGCAGAGAAAACATGAAAAGATGGGGGTGGCCTTACCAACTCTAACGAGATAAATCAATTAAAGTGGGCTATTATCAGCAGGTGAAAAAAATCACGTTTATAGTAGTAATCGGGATGGCACATTTCAAACAGTTGACAAGAAGATGTGAGTAACAATAGGGGGAAAAAATTAGCATGGGGAAATAGTTTTTAGTTTGTGTAATGACCCCCCATCGACTCCCAGTCTTTATTCAGGCCTAATTTGATGGTGTTCAGTATGCAAATTAATTCCAGTTCTGCAGTTTCTCGTTGGAGTCTGTTTTTGAAGTTTTTTGTTGAAGAATTTAAAGAAAGTTACTCTTCACCTTCATGTTGATAATACAGGGAAAATTTCCTTTCCCTTTAGGATTTTACTAATATTTCATTTTTTTCTTTAAGATGATGAAGGTCAATGGAAAGCCCCTTTCTACTTCATCCAAGGAGCGGATCCTCAGTTTGGACTGATGAAAGCCTGGGCAATTGGTGACTGTGACAATGGAGGTGATGAATGGGAAGAGGAGATCAAATTAACAGAGCAAGCTGTGCAAGCCATTAACCAGTTAAACCCCAAGCCCAAGTTCTTTGTACTGTGTGGTGACCTCATACATGGTATGCCAGGTAAGACTGTTAATGTACACTGGTAATCGTATTCCCATTTTCTTTTTTTAATTTTTAGATGTGATATATAATTACCTTAGCTTTACAGTCAGGCATAGTATTGTGTTCTCATGGATATGTACTTCTAAGCCCATACCTGAAGTAGTGTTCTGACCTCTTGTCAAGGTTCCTCCCCCACTCTGAACTCTAGGGTACAGATGTGGGGACCTGCATGAAAAACCTCCTAAGCTTATCTTTACCAGCTTAGGTCAAAACTTCCCCAAGGTACAAAATATTCCACCCGTCGTCCTTGGATTGGCCGCTACCACCACCAAACTAATACTGGTTACTGGGGAAGAGCTGTTTGGACGCGTCTTTCCCCCCAAAATACTTCCCAAAACCTTGCACCCCACTTCCTGGACAAGGTTTGGTAAAAAGCCTCACCAATTTGCCTATGGGACTACAGACCCAGACCCTTGGATCTTAAGAACAATGAACAATCCTCTCAACACTTGCACCCCCCCTTTCCTGGGAAATGTTGGATAAAAAGCCTCACCAATTTGCATAGGTGACCACAGACCCAAACCCTTGGATCTGAGAACAATGAAAAAGCATTCAGTTTCTTACAAGAAGACTTTTAATAAAAATAGAAGTAAATAGAAATAAAGAAATCCCCCCTGTAACATCAGGATGGTAGATATCTTACAGGGTAATTAGATTCAAAAACATAGAGAACCCCTCTAGGCAAAACCTTAAGTTACAAAAAAGATACACAGACAGAAATAGTTATTCTATTCAGCACAATTCTTTTCTCAGCCATTTAAAGAAATCATAATCTAACACATGCCTAGCTAGATTACTTACTAAAAGTTCTAAGACTCCATTCCTGGTCTATCCCCGGCAGAAAACCAGCATATAGACAGACACACAGACCCTTTGTTTGTCTCCCTCCTCCCAGCTTTTGAAAGTATCTTGTCTCCTCATTGGTCATTTTGGTCAGGTGCCAGCGAGGTTACCTTTAGCTTCTTAACCCTTTACAGGTGAGAGGAGCTTTCCCCTGGCCAGGAGGGATTTCAGAGGGGTTTACCCTTCCCTTTATATTTATGACACCTCTCCAGTTGACTTCCTGTGCCATTCATGCGTGCTAGCTCTGCCTCTGTTAGTAACTTCTTCCTGTGGCTTAGAGAAAATTTGCTGTAAGAATGAAATAAAAATTTTAAGAGGATATGTAAAAGTTCTTTCACCAAAAGTGTTACTTTCATAAACAGTATACGGACTCTAGCCAGGGGACACTCCAGAAACTAGCTATAATATGTCTGCTGCACTGTTGGAGGACTTCCAGTCACAAAATTAAATAATGCAGTAACTGAATATAAAACTGATATGTTGGATTTCACCTTGTATGGGTATTTCCGGAAAGTCATTAACATAAAAAGGCTCTTAAGCCTCTGAAAAGAATTTTGTCTACTCAGGACTCATGTCCATATAACAAGTTCTGTCATAAGTAGCCCTCTTGTTAAAAATTTCAGAGGGACTAAGGACTGAATGGGCATAGAGCCTGATCTGTCCTCTCATCTCTAGATGGTGTCTGTACAGATCAGGTTCGGGCAGGACAGAATGTGGAAATTTGTACACTGTCACCCCTGGAAATTTTTTTTGGTGGGGTGGGGGTTGGATAGTGGACTTTTCCAACCAGTATTATCTGTCTAGCACAGCGATACTCAGACTGGGTCTTGCAAACTGCAAGTGGCACGTTAATGTGTGATATTAAAACGCTGTGTGATTTTATTATTAACCAGTCTAAGTTATTAACCAATCAGGATGCTTTTACTATTACCTTTTTTTTTTTACTTACCCAATTGTAGTTAATAAATAATAATCCTTGCTCAGTCATTTTTGCTGTGAGAATATATACAGGTATAAAAAACTAAATATTTCCCCTGTCACACTGTTTAAATATGAATATATAATACTATAGTAAATGACACAATGAAGTCACACTACTGTGACTCTTTTGGGTAATGTGGATCATTAATTTGACTCCTGAACCACTGTGGTCTATCACCAGTCTGGCATCTTTAATGAGCATAGGGCTCTGATTTATCGTAAAACGTAAGAAACAAATTTGTCAGAGTATGGCAAATTGTTATCAAATAGTCATCTCAATTACAAAATACATTAATGTTAAACTGAACAGATTGTAGAGCTAAGACTGCTTATGTTCTGAAAAGTGTATTTGTTATGCATTGTATAAATTTTGCCAGCAGCCTATTGCAATTTCCAAGTAGTAGCAGGAGAGAGCAGTTTCATTGGCCTTTCACCTTGTCTCATCTCTTCTTTCTGGTGTAAAGATAACTAGTAACTATAGGTAGTACAGGTATATCTTGCTTTGATCCTAACAATCCATTGTTTAAAACGTAAACATTTTTCTTAAATCAATGAAGCAATATTCTGCACATCCGCTTCATGATTATTAGGCACTTTATGCAGAGTTAAGGAAATAGTCTATTAAAGGAAAGTGTAGCTCCTACTAGAACAGCTCTTTCATTGCTTTACATTGCTGTTTACATGTGTTTAAGTTTATACGAACGATTTACTGACACTTTTTATAAATACATTTTATAGCCAGTAATTTGTCTTTCTGTCTGAACTGAAAAGAGACAAAGATGCTAAAGTAAATACTTCTTTGGCTAAGAGACACCGTGTGCAGTATTCTTTGGACGTTTGCCCAAAAGGTCATTCAGACTTGCTTGAAGCAGCAAGTGGAATGGAAACGCAATCAGAAAAATATTCTAGAAAAGTACAAAGAAAAGGATTCTGGTCTAATCATAAATGAATGAACATAAAAATATGGATGCCTTGGAGGAACTGAAATTTTTGGTGGGGTCTTATATTTTTTTCCTAACGTTTTCTTTCACTTATTTGTAGTAAGCTTTTGGAATAATCTTAAGTAAAAATTCTTTGAAAAGGCCAAATTAATGGAATAATAAATCAAGTAAAAGAAGAAAATTTTGAAAACAAACCCAAATCCTAGAGAAGTCCTAATGAAACATTTACTGAAAATGTTTTGAAAAATGTGTGCGGAAACAAGTCCAGATGGTTGATGGATATTTTATTTCTTTTTTTTTTTAAGAGGCATTTTGCAATGAATCAAGATCTTGGTTCCTTAACAACTCATTTGCTGTGTTTTCTCCACCAAAATTTCAATTTCCTGACATTAGAATTAGAGATTTTATCTGACATTACCCTCTCTAATTTCCTTGTAATAACATTTGCTTCTAAGAAAACTTGAAAGTAGTGCAATCACATGCTGAGTTCCCTTTCTCACTTAAAGATTCAGATGGCTTCATTTGTTCTACTTTACCATAGAATTGATAAAACTCTTTGTCAGACTTCCTCTTCTGACACACACGAGTGCTTGTAACACACTGTTTTGTTTCCTTTCTGCAGTCGTATGGTTTGGGTCAAGATTACAAAATAATATACCCTGTCACATGTCCACTGGCTCCTGTTATGCTTGGGATTTAATATTTTTTTAACCACAATTAAAAATCAGAGTGACATTCTTTTGTCATTCAGGGATGCCTTAATTAGACTGAAGTAAAGTTAAATCAGCAACTGATTATGGAAATCATCATAGGAATACTTAAATTGGTCTGTAAGTGCTTTCACTTTATGCCAAGAATGTGAAGTTGTAGGAAAACCTTCTCCAGCGTTAAGGAGCAAAAGGCAAACTGCTTGAGAATTTAAGTTTTTTTTTTTTTTATGAATAGTTAATTTTTTGATGTTTAAAAAGTACCTCCTTCCAAGTAATACATTTCTGCAGTGTATAATAATCAATACTCAGAGGTTTTAAAACTTAACTTTTTAAAAATTCATTCCAACAGATACTTCCACCGTAGCCCTAAAGTAAAAAACGGGGATATATCTATATAATGGGGAGTATACCCACATAGCTATGGCACTGTAGTTATGCTGACATAACCCCATAGTGTAGACACAGCCGACATCAACTTCAAGGGTTTTTTCCAACAGCGAGGAACATCACCTCCACAAGCAACCGTAGTGATGTCAGTGGAAATGTCAAGGTGTGGATTTTTCGTAGCCCTAAGCAACTTAGCTATGTCGACCTAAACTTTAAGTGTAGATCAGACCTGGGACTGCTCATGTGTGTGAAGTTACTCACATGCATAAAGTGTTTGCAGTATTGGGGTCGAATACTATTTTTGTTGGGTTTTTTTCTTATCCTTTTAATACTTTCTTATTTCACTATTTTCATTACTGTTCAACACAAGATCATTTGGATCAACACTAATACATTTGTAGTGAAGTGGTACTGACTTCATTTCATGCTTTTCCTCAGTGGAGTTTTTCGAGTAATCTGTGTGTCAGTTTGTTTAATCATTTTAGTTCCATAATGTATTGGGAGAAAAGGCTAAAAAAATGTTTTCTCAATGGAGATAAATCACCAAAGGCATAAGAGGAGGCAATCCTCAATTTCAGTCTGACCGTAGTGAATTTGGCCCATTACTATTTCTAATTGATATATCAAATTGATAAGAGCTCTCTAGTTCAGTTGTGGTTTTAAACTACGCTTAAGCTGACAAAAATAATGTTAATCAAAGAGTAATGCAGTTGTTTTCCCAATATGGTTTTTGCTTAAGAATGACAGATTAAAGTTTGAATACATTTTTAGCATCCATTGACTTCATATTATTATCTATGCTCTCTTGGATTGTATTTACATTTTTCTATGCTTAACTTCCATCTCAACCTGTTAAATAATAATAATAATAAAAAAACCTACCCATCTTAAATACGTTTTTAACTAGGAGGAACACATAAACTATGTAGAGCTTTGACTATGACTGAATTCTAAAGCACAGCAGATTTTTGGTTGAAATGATATCAAGACCTTTGAACAGGGACTCCAAGAAGTCTCAGGATTCCAACAGCTAGGAGTGATGAATAGAATCCTGATCAGCCAAACTAGGAAGCAATCAAGCAATACACTTGTTATC